GTGGAAGACTTTTCTCTGAGATTGACTCTGGAACTGCATCACCACCATCACCTGAAAGCGTTTGAGTTTGATCAATGATGGTGGGCTCAGCCTCAGCGGTTGGTGCAGCAGTGGCAGTGGCAGTATTGGCTGATTTTGCTTCATGGTCCGCTTGGTGTGAATTGATTTGCTCATCGTCAGTCATTTCATCAATCAAGTTCTCAAGCTCTTTGGCTAAACTCCCAGCAACGCTGCTAGAGTCTGGATCTATTGTATCTGGCCTTGTTTCATGAACTCCATGGGCTCTAGCTTTTGGACTCTTTGGAACATCATCATTCCCAGCTTGACGTTCTGTGGCTTTACATGGTGAAGCCTGAGCACGAACTGAAAGCATAGAATCAATTCTTGATGATGACGTCAGCTTGGTTGTGTTCACTGCATGCGTTGTGCGTGTGTTCTGAACCTGGGAACTCAAAGCACATGTAGGTGATTGTGCCGATGATGACTCTGATGATGGCTGCTGCTGTTGCGTATCATTTTGATCTGACTTTGCTGACAATTTCATCATCTTGGTGTGTAGCTCTTCCCAATCACCAAAGGAATGATTTGAGTCTGTCCCCGAAGGCCTTTTCATAGTCGCCAACATGTTGATGCTGAAGAGGTTGTCCTGTTGACAAACTGATAAGTTGACAACTGACAATTGATACATTCACTTTCACAACACAACTAACACATCCTTGGACTATTAGACCACTGTTTAATTAGTAAAAACTTGAAAGTTAACAAACAGCCTCAAGCCTGAGTTACAATGATGAATATATGAAAAACTAAAGAACAAAGTCAATTCAGTCCTGCGACCCACTGGAAGATGGTACAAGCAATATACCGTCAGTGAATAGCTCAAAGCTACCAAAGTGCCATCCAATAGGATGCTTGCCCTTTTTGATGTTGCAGACCGATTCGTCGAAGCTTGAATATCCATGAACTGCACCAAATGATGAAAAGTTGTCTTTAGTCAAAGCCACGTTGCCAATGAATTTTGCAATTCCAAACACAGGAAGCAATCGGTTCTTTGAAAAACGAAGGTTCTTGTCATCAGGATCGCATCCTAGAACAACTGCAACATTGCTTCCTGGTGCAGCTACACGAATGTTGAAGTCTCTGACAACCATGAACTCTCCATTGTCTTTTGATGCCTTCGCCATAAGAGCCTTACATATTTTGATTGCCTTCATGTCTGATATCAATCTAGGATCTCTGCTTTGGTCCAAGGAACCAACCTTTGCAGGTTTAGCACATCTCATCATATTAAGCAAGCTTGCCCCACCGTTTGCTTCACCTCCTGCAGCCCTGCCATCACCACGACCACCACGTAGAGTGGTTGCCGGTGATGTAGGAGGTGTCAATGATGATGATGGCCGTTTCATGGCTAGGCTATGTTGTCAATACAATAAAAAATAATGAAATGAAAATAAATAAATATAAACCTTATGACATTAATTGAATAATAGTCTAAGTGATTTGATTTTAGATATCAGACTGTCAAGTTGTCAATTGTAATGACGTGAGGTTTTGTTCATTTGATCTGACACATAGCTGTGGCTATAGACACAAACATATGAAATCAATTTACAAATGTCAAACTATTCTCAACCCAACAATGAAAATCATTGTGATTTCATGATCGGTCTGATGTTTGGTCACTGGTCACTGATCAGTGCTTGCAAACGAATGCGGCCAGCCTGTAGTAGTGGTGATGATGACTAAGACTGTGCTTTCGACCTGAGTTGCATTTGGTAGCCGGTAGCATTAGTTGTTTTTTTTACTTGTGAAATCATTCACATAGCACACATTCTTCTTTTGTTTTCAGAATCCTGTCAGCCTGTCAGCAAAAGTGTGAAACTAATGTGTTCTTCGCCACTTCTCTATCCAAACCCCAGAGCGAAGACATAAATCACATCCAAACAACAACGACATAGTGAAAATATTTTTAGTTATCAGTAGATGATCATTGTGGTTTCTCTTAGTATATGCATACTAGTACCTACTGAAAGATTCAATACTTTTTTCTTAATAAATATCTATTGAAGAATTAGGTGGTTTCTGTCAGTAGACGACTACTGAATGATTGAACAACTTTTGTCAGTAGGTGCCTACTGAAGGACTTGGTGGTTCCTCTCAGTAGATGCCTACTGAAGAATCAGACAACTTCTGTCAGTAGGTGTCTACTGAAGGACTTGTTGGCTCCTCTCAGTAGATGCCTACTGAAAGATCAGACAACTTTTGTCGGTAGATGACTACTGAAGGACTTGGTGGTTCCCCTCAGTAGATGCCTACTGAAGGATCAAACAACTTCTGTCAGTAGGTGCCTACTGAAGGACTTGGTGGTTCCTGTCAGTAGGTGCCTACTGAAGGATCAGACAACTTCTGTCAGTAGGTGCCTACTGAAGGACTTGGTGGTTCCTCTCAGTAGATGCCTACTGAAGGATCAAACAACTTCTGTCAGTAGGTGTCTACTGAAGGACTTGGTGGTTCCTCTCAGTAGATGCCTACTGAAGGATCAGACAACTTCTGTCAGTAGGTGCCTACTGAAGGATTTGGTTGTTCCTCTCAGTAGATGCCTACTGAATGATCAAACAACTTCTGTCAGTAGATGCCTACTGAAAGACTTGGTGGTTCCTCTCAGTAGATATCTACTGAAGGATCAGGCAACTTTTATCAGTAGGTGCCTACTGAAGGACTTGGTGGTTCCTGTCAGTAGATGACTACTGAAGGACTTGATGGTCACTGTCAGTAGATGACTACTGCAGGACTTGGGTGTCTGTGTCAGTAGATGCCTACTGAATGAGTAAGCAACTTATGTCAGTAGATGGCGACTTGGTGGTTCCTGTCAGTAGATGCCTACTGAAGGTAGACAACTTCTATCTATAGGTGCCTACTGAAGGACTTGGTGGTTTCTGTCAGTACATGATTAGTAAAGAATTAAGCATTTTCTGTCAATAGATAGCTACTAAAGGTTTTGTTGATTTCTGTCTGTAGACTGAAAGATTGGGCAACTTCTGTCAGTAGGTGACTATTGAAGGATAGATTAGACTTTTAATAGTGTCTCTGATTAGACAACTACTGTAAAACATGATTGTTGCAACTTCAACACTTGTCGTTGTTGTTTTGTAACCCTCTCACACCTGACAGCCTGACAGCTCTCTTGAACTTGATCTAGTCATAGGTCACACCAAACGCTGACGCCTTGGAGCAGGTTCTTCATCTTCAGCGTTGGCGTTAAGCAAAGGGTTAGCAACTGCACCAATGTCCTCCACCACAACGCTTGGCTTGGGCATCACACCTGTCAAGACAACTGACTTGCTGTTCCACATGATATGGTCCTCCAGCTTCCACATCTGAAATGATTCAACCTCTTTGGGTGACAAGAATCCCCAAACTCTCACGGTCAGCAGGAGTTTGTCAAGAAGTGATCCCATGGTGGAATCTGGTGATAGCGCAACCCCTAATGTTGTGGGACCAATTGTTGTTGGCTCCTCATTTGCATTGTCAGCCGCTCCAAGCAATGACAAGGTATATTGCACCGATGCACGGTTCAAACCACACTCAGTGAAGTTTGCTTGCAAATGAACCATGCGACAAAACTTCACCATCACATACTCTTCATGGACTTCGTGCTTGTAGATCAAAATCTTCAGGGCATGACCTGGATCTTGCCTTGGGTTGAAAATCGATTGGATTGCACAAGTCTAGTAGCCTATTGACAATTACAATTACTGCCAATGTATTGTAGTTTGTGAAAGTTATGTTTTGTCATGATTAATATGGTGAAATCATATACTATATTTGTGCTGCTTAGGCACTGCAACTTGATCAGGTTGTACTTCACATTGGTGTAACCTCCCTTGTGAAAGACCGTCGGAAATGGGCAAAGACGTGGCATAGTGGCAAGATCTTTCGTCAAACTTTTCCACACAAAGTTGAAGCCTTTGTTTTGATTCTCAGTGCATGAATGCCATGCCAGTGACCAAAAGGATGAGTATGGTGACAATGCACTCGAGTGTGTCACATGGTATTCCCACACATCCCGCTTGTGCACGAGATTCATTTTTGGCGGCGAGGTGGAATCACAAGTTTTTTTTGTTTCAGTGCTTTGCCACACTGAAAGATATTTGAGCCAACACCTCCTCAATAACTCAAAATGTCAATTCAACTGCCGATGGTTGATGACTCATGAACCAAATAGTTCTTTGTACATGTTACAGCAATAGCCTCCAACCTACTAGTGATAGACATTCAACATAATACTAATATAATATCGATAGCAACCAACCTACTAGCAATGGCCTACATCATTGACTTTATCATAATATATGTTTTGATCTCTTGGTCACATGGTCCATATCATATCAGTCGATCAAACCAATCGATTCAGTCTCCATATAAAAATTTATAGTGAATGTTTGTTTGAAGGCTCAGACTCGAACCTGAAATAAAAAACGCTGAGGCTTTCACAAATTCATCGAAACATCACCACCACTGGTTAGCTGATGAATTCCTGACAGGCCGACAGGTGCATTGGTCAATCAGTCAATTTTCAATGCATAAGAGTCTTGCCACCAAATCAATTGTATAATCAACCAACTCAAGACCACACATTTCAGCCTCTCTCAGCATCTAGTGCTTAGTTTTAGTCCTTGTAATTATATTACTTTTGTTTGTAATGATTGTAGTGACTATAGAGACTGAGTAGTACAATCTAAAAATCTTTTGGTTAAACTAGCACACTGATCACCAATGCATCAACACAGGTCAGCAATGCTTTGTTTGTTTGCTACGCATACATGCATCAGCTGCATCAGTCTCACAATCACACACTGTCACAATGTCATTGCATGTGTGCTGTGTGGCTCTGTGCAGCATTACTTGCAAGGTGAAACCAAGCTGAGCCTGAACCATTGAATCAAGTTCAGTACAGTCGTCTTCGTTTGGCATCTTGACACTCTTGACACATATCAAAACCTTCTGTTGAAGAGCCACTTGCAGCCAACATTGACGTATTGGTATTGTTTGCATTGGCATCCTCAGATTCAGCACCCTGTTCCGGTTGTGACGTGTGAAGACTGTTGGTTTCCTCATGATATTCAATCTCTTGATCATCAACTTCAACATTGCCCCCACCCTTTTGATTCTCTGGAGTTTCCTCTGATGTAGGTTGATTTGAAGTGATGAAGTTGTTTGTAGACTGAATTGAAATCGGCACATTCACAGTGTCTGTGTTGACTGTGTTGACATTCACCCTGTCAGTTGTAGAATCGTCTCCTTCATCAAGCCACTCCGGACCTGAGTCTGTGTCATTATCACCATTGTCATTGTTTTCCTCATTCCCGGCCATACCTTCTTGATTCTCTTGAGCATTGTCTTGTAGCGCAGGTTGATCCACAGTAGAGAAGTTGAACTCGTCCGCGTATGGGATTGGTACATTCAAAATGAATGCATAAGCATTCACCCTGTCATAGAAAGTATATTCGCCCATCCAAATTGGAGACTCATCTAGTTCATCAAGCCAACCGAGATCTGAGTCTGGGTCTGTTGCATTGCTATCGGGAATATCATTATCAATATTGGTGTCTTCATTGTCATCACTCGCATCATTGCGTGTGTCTGCACCAATGTCATTTCCACGTGAGCTTGCCATGGCACAAAGCTGATGCGATGATGATGTGATGTATATGTATGACTTAATTTACATTGGATAATAGTTACATACACATCGTGTTATGGTGATTTGCTTGCACCAATCAACTCCAACAACTATTGTATTTTAATTTGCTGCTGTTGCGGCTGTTGCAACTTGTTTGCCAAGTTGACGCAAAAACAACTGCTGCAGTCAAGATAAAAGATTGATCCATACTTCACAACTGGCATTGTTCCATTGCTCCTGCACTAGCAGTGTTGGGCGCGCCTTGAAGGTAAGAACTTGCAAGAAGATGAATACGACCTCATGTCAGGCCTCACGTGCACCGATTGTTTGGGATTGGTTGGTTGGTTGATTGATTGATCTATCACATATCTATTGCCTACTGCTGGTAAATGAATTCAAGGTTTTCACCTTCAGATCTTTCAGCCTTCAGCCCTAGGCCATTCAGCCATGGTTCAACAAAACACACATTCACTTCACCAACTCTACAAAGCAAATGAATCTTAGAATCATTAACCTGATCTGTTGTTTAATTGTTGAACTATTAAACTGATGATCTTGACCTGTACATATTTGCCATACCACCAAGCCTGCTGATCTGGCTGCACTGCCTTCGAAGATTAAGATGAGGAAGACGAAGATGTAAGTTGTACATGTCTCTCACATAGATGACAAAGCCTGTCCAGTGCTCTCACAATCAAATTGAGTTTTGAATATTGATAGTTAATAATATGGACTCTGAACAATATTGCCACTGCAAAACTTGAAGACTATAGAACACATAAAACAAACACACAACTTAAAACTTGCCTCCTGTCATGTTCCGTTGAAGCATTAGCATCTCGTCTGAAGCAAGTAGGAAGCTCGACTGAACCATGCCAAGCAAGCCGGTGCAGTAAGCGACGGCTGAATGACTCTGGATTGGAACCATTACCATTGTTGTTTTTCCCAATGTTTTCCTGGATCATATATATCATCTGTCCCTGTGGTAGTTGTTGTCCCATTGAAGAATTTGGATCATCACCAGGTGTGACAATGCGCAGCATTCGCTCGCTGCATGATCTGTGCCAGAACAGCAAGCAAATTGAACATTGCTGAATATAGTCTGGAGCTGATTCAGAACAGGCCCGAGATGAAGATGGATTTGACCTGTTTGATTGACGCAACACGTTGTGGTGGTGGTTGCTGCCACACAAAACACAGCATGCCAAACACATATCCAGAGCTTGAATAGCTCCAGAAGTATCAATGATTGCATCAGCAGTCAAAGAATGGCTGGACTCTGCGCGTTCTTGTTCATTCAGCTGTTGGAGAGCAATGTTTTCAGACATGCACTGTGCTTGAAGCGCTACCCTCCACATATCCATGAGACGTTTGATTTGCTGAGGAAGTTTTGGTCGATCTTGTTTTTGACTCTTTCCATTTGTATTCCTGTGGCAGGATGTACAATAGAACTGTTGGAGAAGTCAATGGGTACTCTTTTCTTGCCGGAAGGAACGATTGCAATGATTTTGTCTTCTGCATCCAAATCTGCAATGCGTCCACTCTTGCCTGCCAGCACCCATTGAACCAAAACTAAATCAAAATCTACTTCGTCTGCATCTGTTTTGAAGCCACTCTTGTCTTTTTTCATGTCATAGTGGAGCACCAAGGCTAATCCCGTAGAAGATGTCGACAACTTGAATCGATCGTTGTGCTTGATGTGCGCGTCTTGTGCATCAAGTAGAGATCTGATTCCTTTTTGAACTTCTTGTTGCCAAGTTGCATAGGATACAATGTGTGCTGAATTTTGTGGCAAGCTATGCTGTGTACTCTCTTCACCCATTCTTGCAAAGCGATCCAAATCAACATCACTCAGCACATTTCCTGGCATGTCTCTAGTTGATTGGATGGTTGATGTCAATGTCGCTGTTGTAGCTGACCCGGTGGTCTTGGTTCCTTCTTGAACTTCTTGTCCTTAGCTTAATTGTACTTGAATGATAACAAATAAAGTGAAGGAGTGAAGGATTGCAGGAGAATAACTGAAGCAAAACAAACACCACATGCCATGCAAAAACCACACACAAGACTGAACTGTTCGACAATCATCAATATAAACATAATAACATAGTAACATAGTATTGGTCTGCTGATAGGAGTCTTTCATCTGTCGCATGTGTATCAAAGTTTCCCATAACATCAGCTGAGTTCAAAGCACCTTCCAGTAGAGCTTCTTCGGGTGACATACCTTGTTCCTCAAGTTGAGTAGCAAATTCAGAAACAAACTTACCTTCAAGCTCAAGGCCATCGTTTTTGATTGCACGCTTGATTGACCTTGTAGCAGCGCTATTCACAAGTCTGTCGTGATGCCGACTGCTGTCAAGCAGTTGTTCCTCATGTCCACCAATGTTGTCTAAATCACGTTCATCTTGTGAGTCCTGTCCGTGATCAATATCTTGCGATTGAAGAAGTTCACTCACCCCCATTGCAGACAATGCATGTGTGTCCAGCTCTGCGTCAATCTCGGCCGTTTCTCCTGAAGGTATTGAAGGTGATGGTTCTGATGTTTGCTTGGATCTTTCTGCTTGCTCTGCAAGATCTCCAATACCCTGCTCAAATAATGAACTTGCAAGTTCAATGTCTTCGGAAGAAATCATGGGTGTGTCAGAATCAGAATCATTGTCAGGCTGTATTCCATAATCACTCTCAGCATGGAAATGTGGTTGCTGCGGTTGCTTTCTTTTGCGATCAACTTTTTTGTTGTGTTTTTCAGCTATCTTCTCACCCACAGCCAAAGACTTTTTGGAACACGTCAATGGAATAACATAAGTCTTGATGTCAATGTCAAACATCATCGAGTTAGGATCAACAACCCTGCTCATTGGAAACAAACGTGAGCTGAAGTCGTCTTCTTCATCACTCTGATGATTCTTCACAAAAAAGCCTCGCAGCAAAACTGGAAACATGTACAATATCTCAGGATGATCTTTGCAAGCTTCTTCACGAACTCTTCTGTGAAACTCTTTGACAACTTGTAGTGAAGAGCTGAGACACCAGCATTTCAATTGTACATTTGCTGATGCTGTAGATGTAGCATTGGCAGGGTATGATGACGATGATGTCGGCGTATGGTACTCGCATATCAAAAGACGCCTGGTGCTGTGGACTTTCTCAACAGGCAGGTAAACTCCTCATCAAGACAAACATGCAAGAAATTGTA